AAAAAAAAAAAAAAAGGTCAAGCCTTCCAGTGGGCAGGTCCAGGAAACAGGAGAGAGGAGAAGAGCTCAGACAGGAAGGAAGCTGCCTCTGGAGGGCTGGCAGTAGTCTCTGCATGGGGTCAAAGCTCCTGCGTGTGGAAAGCAGGGTGGCGCCCTGGGGTCTGTTTGACCAGGGCCTGGCATCCAACTGGCCTGGAATTCAGGGAGCTGCTGGCAGGCAGGGTGTAGCCAGGGGAGTTTGGGAAGAAGGCTGCTCTGGCTTCTCTGGCTGGACCCTTGGGGCTGACCTGTGGCCCTGGGCCAATGACATAACACCCCCTACCCACACACGCCAATCTCACCATGCACATTTCTCAATCCCTGCCTCCCAGGGAGCACCAGGTGGCCCCAGCTGTGTAGAGAGGAGGGGAGGAGCAGAAGAGGAGTTGAGGACATTCTTGCAGAGGGGGCTGGGGAACTGGAACAAGAGGCCCTGATGGGCAGGGTCCAAGACTGCCCTGCAAGAGTACCCTGGGGCTGGACAGGGTGCAAGCAGAAGGGCTGTCCTCCTACGGCAGTGGACACAGGGGATACACCCAGGGAGGGTCTAAGGGAGGCTGAGCGTGTGTCTGAGGGGAACCATGGAGAAGGAGGTAGAGGGCCTGTGAGGCTGACAAGGAGATGTGAAGTCAAGGCTGACACAGACCAATGCTGACAGGGGATATCAAGCCTGTCACACCAAATTCTTATCATCATCGTCACCCCAATGGTGATTTATTGGGCCCTGACTGTAAGCCAGGCATTTTCCCCAATCCTTGAGCTGGGAGATAGGGACTGTTATTTACTCTACATGACACGAGGGGAAACTGAGGCTCAGAAGTCACTTGCCAGGGTCAGAAGCGGAGTTGAATTGCAGGCTTAAGGGTGGGATCCTGCAGCCTCTCCCAGCTCCAAGGTTCACCTGGTAGCACTGTGAGCCCCAGTGCCATAGCACCTCCTCCAAGCTGCCACATTCACCTTTTATTTTTCTTTTCTTTTCTCTCTTTCTTTTTTTTTTTTTTTTTTTTGAGACGGAGTTTCCCTCTGTCGCCCAGGCTGGAGTGCAATAGCGTGGTCTCAGCTCACTGCAACCTCTGCCTCCTGGGTTTAAGTGATTCTCCTGCCTCAGCCTCCTGAGTAGTTGGGCTTACGGGTGCCCACCACCACGCCTGGCTAATTTTTTTGTTTTTTTTTTGAGACACAGTCTCGCTCTGTCACCAGGTTGGAGTGCAGTGGCGTGATCTTGGGTCTCTACAACCTCTGCCTCCCGAGCTCAAATGATTCTACTGCCTCAGCCTCCCGAGTAGTTGGGACTACAGGTGTGTGCCATCCTGCCCAGCTAATTTTGTATTTTTAGTAGACACAAGATTTCATCATGTTGGCCAGGATGGTCTTGTTCTCTTGACCTCATGATCCATCTGCCTCAGCCTCCCAAAGTGCTGGGATTATAGGTGTGAGCCACTGTACCTGGCCTAATTTTTCTATTTCTAGTAGAGATGTGCTGGTCTCAAACTCCTGACTTCGTGATCTGCCCACCTCAGCCTCCAAAAGTGCTGGAATTACAAAGGCATGAGCCATTGCATCTGGCCTATTTTTATTTATTTTTAGATAGGGTCTCACTCTGTTGCCCAGGGTGGAATACAGTAACCTGATCATGGTTCATTGCAACCTCCGACTCCTGGGTTCAAGGGATCCTCCTGCCTCAGCCTTCCTAGCAGCTGGGACTAAAGGCACACACCACTACACTCAGCTAATTTTCTTACTTTTTTTGTAGAGATGGAGTCTCACCATATTGCCCAGGCTGCCTCAAACTCCTTGATTCAAGCAATCCTCCTACCTTGGCCTCCCAAAGTGCTGACATTACAGGTGTGAGTCACTGCACCCAGCCACACTCACCTTTGAGCATCTTGACGGCCACAGTGCTGGCTTGGTCAGGCTGGGCGGGGTCCATACCAAAGGCTTCGGCACGTATTACCTGCCCAAAGCAGCCCTCGCCCAGGGGTTTCCCAAGCACCAGCCTGGAGATGGAGAAAGTGCATGCCTCAGACCTCCGAATCACTCCTGCTAAGAGTGGGTTGCAACCCGACGCCCATGTCCCCAACCCCACACAGCTCAGCGCACCTGTCCCGGGGGAACTCCCATAGTGGGTCGAGAGGTAGGTCTAGACTCACGGGGCCGGCGAGCAAGGCAGGGCCGCTGGAGGAGAGACGTACACCTCGCACCAGGGATAAGCTCGACTTGCCGGAGGAGCCTGACTCCAGGGAGAACTGCAAAGTGGGAGACTTGGTTCTGCCTGCTGGAGTCAGGCTGCAACACACAAGGTGGGGGATGCGCCCAGTACCTGTCGGGCCAGAGGGAAGCGGGACAACTTCTGCACAGTGGCAGGCTGGTGGGGGTGCCGGCCGTGGAGTGCCTGCCCTCGATACAGCCCAGCTAGCAGCAGGAGTACAGCCAAGGCCAGGGAGCCCGACACGTACAGAATGATGTCCGTATACCTGGCCTCAGGCGCTGCTGCAGTCCACGTGAGGTCCTCCTCTGCCCTCGCACATGAATACACACAGACAGACAAACTGGTCAGTAGTGAGACTGGCCACCCCATGCACCCCACTCAGGCCCTTCCAGCACCCAACATGCATGGGGACACAAGCAGAGGAAGCTGTAGTTATGCCCAGTCCCAGGTTCCCATACCTCAGCAGAGGGTCACATGGACAACTTCATGTGGAGAGGCACAGAGAGGGTGTCATATAGCTCAAAAACACAAATCCACACACTGCCTCACAAGCCAGACCCCACAGACCTACAGAGACTGACCACCCGACAAGGCCACGGCCCCCACTGCTGGACCAGAGGGGCATCTTGCAGCATCTCCTGGCCCCTCAGGTGCTCACCTGGCAGCACCGTGAGCCAGGCCGACTGGTAGGAGAGGCCGATGGAATTGCCTGCGAGGCAGGTGTACTCGCCTGCGTCCTCGGCTGACACGTTCCGCAGGTACAGAACCTCCACCTCTGAGCTATTGATGTCTGCAGTCTGGGGAGGGAGACATATTCTGGGGTCACAGCAGGGCCTGGGGCCACACTGTGGCCAAGAAGGAAGCTGGGGACCCCCCAACCCCGGGTGGGAGAAGAGTGGGGCCCAGGCTGTAGCAGGGACTGTACCTTTAGGACTTGCACATAGGGGAAGCCGTCGGCCCCGAAGCTGCTGCCGTTGATGACAATGTGCTTCAGCCACTGGATGTGGGGCTGAGCATCGCTGTACACCTTGCACAGCAGCTCCACGTCACTGCCGACCACAGCTGTGGTGTTGGCCGGGAGCCCAGCCTGCAGGATGGGCCGGTGCGGGGACCGCTCTGGGGACCAGGCGAGGTGGTCAGCCCTGATTACCGGCACCCATAGAAGCACCCTGTTTGCCTCCCTCCAGCCTTCCTCAAGTTCAAGGGAGGGAACTTTCTGCAGCTTCTTGTCCTGCTTAAACCTTCCCTGGCTCCCCATTGCTTCGGGTCAAGGATGACATCTCAGCCTAGCATTCAAAACCCTCTACCACCTGGCTTTCCACATAAATGCCACGCCCTAGGTATATGCTAGCCTGCAAGTGCAGGGCGTTCCTTATACTTAGGCCCTCAGCTCAGGCTGTGCCCTCTGCCTTGATGTCCTTCTTGCTTTTCCTCTTGGCAGACCCCTGCTTCTCCAGTGCCACACTAACCCCTGTGCTTTCCCCTGACCCACCTGGTCACTGAGCTGCTTGACTCATCTGAGTCCCATCCTGCCTGCCAGGCTAGGCCCCACCAGAGGGCACAACTGAGCCCAAGACAGGTCAGGCCTCCCAAATCCCTGCCCCGTGCTCACCCAGCACATCTAGCAGGTAGCTGTAGCGGATGCTGCCCACAGAGTTCTCCACCAGGCAGGTGTACGTGCCACGGTCTGAGGGCACCACACTCTCCATCACAAGGCTCCAGTGCTGGTGGCGCAGCTGCAGGCAGAGGTAGTGTGCCCGTGGGACCACCAGACCACATCCACCAAGGGGGACCAGGGGACCAGGAGCCTAGATCCTCATCCTGCCCACAGGGCTCTTCTCAAGCTCTCTAGGCCCTGAGAACATCAGGCCCAGGCCAAGAACTATGGGACAAAGGAGAAGGCTCCCCAAAGTGCCCGAGCCATGGGTCTTTTGAGTTTTAGCTCCCTCTCCCTAGCTGTGCCACTCTAAGCCAGCCCTTGCCTTCTCTGAGACTCAGTTGCCTCATGATAGCATGGAGCTGACCCTGTAGGGTCTCATCAAGATGGTGAGATGCTAAGGCTTATTGATACCATACCAGTCAGTGATTCTTCTTACTTTACAAATGGACTTGCTGAGGCTGAGAGGTTAAGTCATGTGTCAAGAGTGGCAGAAGAGGAACTTCAAACAGAGCTGGCCAAGTCCAGTTTAGGGCTCCTTCTGGGGTCCCACAATTGCTTTCCTCATTCCCCTTATTTATAGGTATGCTTGTAGGTATGAGGGGACTGATGAAGGAATGAAAATGGGGGAGCAGAAGGTCTTGGAACCCAGAGACTCACCCGAATGCCTCCAATGCGATTCTCCCCATGAAAGGCCTGTCCATCCTTAAGCCAGTGGATGGTGGGCATGGGGTTGCCTGCAGCTGGACAGCGGAACTTGACGGTGTTCCCGGCAGGTACTGCATGCAGTTTCTTTTCCATGCGCTGGGGGTGTGTCCAATAGGGTGCTGGGGTCGGAGGGAAGGCCCTTAGAATGACTGTGTTCCTACACAGGCCTCTTCTCAGTGACCAGATGAGCAGTGGGAATGCAAGTCCTTGAAGACTTATACTGACCTTGCTGGGGGTAAATGTGCCCATTTGAGGAGTTCCTAAGGGATTTGGGGTCCTCATCATCATTGCTGGAGGTCAAGGAGTCTATATCAGGGACAGAGGGAGGTATCTGAGGTTCAAGAAGGGTACATCTCTCTGCCTAGGCATCCCTTAACTCACTGCTAGAGTCTCTTACCATCTATAACCAAGGTGAGATTCTGCAGGACGATCATGGAGCCTCGTGACAGGCAGAGGTAGCGGCCAGCATCCTCAGGTAGGAAGCTGGCAATCTCTAGGCGGCCTCTCCAGCCCCGTACACGGCCAGCAGGTGCCAGGCGACTGCCCTCCTTATACCAGTGGCCACCATGCTCAGCTTGCCCACAGCACAGCTGCACAGGCTGCCCAAGGGCTACTGTCAGCTCCTGCTCTTGCTGCTCCAGGTTGGGAGCCAGGCAGGGCTCTGTGGGCAGAGGGCAGAGGTCAGCAGACCCTGCAGCCCCATCTGAGGTAGGCTCCTGCATCCAGAGAACATGCTGCACATGCAGGGCACAAGCACCTCGCAATGCATGCTGGAGGGGCCAGCATCCTTGAAACTCACATGACCACATGCTACAGATGCCACACCCAGGGCAAATGCCACACTCTTGGGGCATGTCACACACACAGCATTTAGTGCACATGCCACTGCCCAAGACACACACACACACACACACACACACACACACACACACACGGCACATGTCATTGGTGCCACATACAGGGCTCATGCTACACCTCTGGGCATATCACACTCATAATGCATATACCACACATGCTGCCTGGACCTTCTAGGTCACATATCCAGTGCACAGAATACACACACACACACACACACACACACACACACACACACACAGAGGCAAGGAGCTCACCACCTGCTCTGCAGCCCAGCTCAGAGCCCTGCACCCTGTAAGGCCAGTCCTCTCTCGCAGACACAGAGATAGATGGATGCTTGCTGGAAGCCAGGCACTGACTGAGTCTCAGCGATTGGGCCCTGCCCTGCTGCCACCTTCTCAGGGCCTGGGTAAGGATCCTTTCCAGCTTTACTCAGCCCAGCAGCCCCCTCTTGGTGCCCACTCTTCCCACCCCTGCCATCCTCTCCCACCTCAGAAGCCATACCCAGCTCCACTTCCTCAGAGGTCTCCAGGGACAAGGCTGGAGGCACAGGCACACTCAGCAGGAACCCCAACAGGGCCAACAGCAGCCGCATCTCCTTCCCACGGCTCTCAGGGACCCAGGCTGGACTTCCCAACAACTGCCTTCCTAAAACGGGGAGGGAGGGAAAAGAGCTGCTGCTACACATGCACCTTTGCAGGTGCTTTTCCTTTATTTTGCAGATGAGGAAACCAAGACAGGAAGTGGTCAGCAGATGTGTCCAAGTCCCCAGCCAGGCTGTGGCAGTGCAGACTGGAACCAGCTCTGCTGTGGCCAGAGCCCAAGGCCTACCCACAGTAGGTTGCGCAAGGGGGCTGGGCTGGGCTTCCTGCTCTCCTTGAGTCCTGCTGGGACCCTGGCACACGTTCACAGAAAGCAGTTTTGGGATTCTTTTCTCAGAGGGAAGTAGAGAACGGAGACTTATCTTCTGCATGCTCTTGGCACACATACTTTGTTTCTTGCTGAATAAATGAATTGATGGCCAAAGAGCCAAAAAAGAAAGTGAAAAATAATACAACGCCAAACTTCAGCATCTGGATGTTATCTGATCTGATCCCTGCTCCTTACAGCATTACTGACATTTCCAGGGCTGGGTGCTCACAAGGCAGTCCCTTCCATGGCAAGCAGGACCACATCCCTGGATACCCCTGCTTGTTATGCCCCAACTCTATCTGAAGCATGCATGGTTTTGTAAAGAATATAGACCCTAATTATCCATCCACCAGAGTCAAGTTCAAATCCTGACTCTTACCAACTTGTAACTCCTTGCCTCTGTCCCTCTTTGGGCTACTATCCTCATAGGAATGCTTTGAGGATAAAAGAGATAAGATAATGTGTGTTGGAACTTGGCACACAGAGTGTTGGAATGTTCTCCTTCCTATGCCTGGCCCTAGAAATGTTCACCTATTGCTCTGGCTCTGCCTTCAGCCAGTCGCCTCTGGTTCGGGTGCTGTTCCTGTCAGGCTGTGATGTACACATACCCCAGCCGGCTATCCTTTTCCAGATGCTACGAAGGACACTTCTGTTCCCCAAAATGGAATGCTCAGAACTGAGTCTCAGCTGAGACAAAGGAATATGGTGACCACTGTAGTCCTAGGGGCCTCCAGGTGGCACTGGCATCTCTGGATTTACCCTGTGTGGGAAGCCCATTACACCTCCTTCTCCTTGGTCACTGCCACCCCACATCCAGTCCATCTGGCTTCCCCTGCCCCTACTCAGGGCAGGTCATGGTCATCTCTTGCATGGGCCTTTGGAAACATCCTCCCCCAGGGCTCTTCAACCTTCATCTTCCAGCAGGGTTTTAAAAAACTTCAAGTCTGCCATGTCGTGCCCCCAGATTGCAAGCCCTTAATGGCTACCTGTGCCCAGCAGGATCCAGCTCAACATCCTAGGCTTCCCTCTCTACCACTGCCTATCTCTTTAGTCACATGGTCTGCCCCTTCAGGAGCCCTGAAACGACTGGCTTTCAAAACGGCACATGTGCTCTCTTCCCCATCCCTCTGTGCCCCTCATTCCTCTTCTCTACCTGCCTCAGGATACTTCTGTCTCTGAGCCCACCTCAACTCCCAAATCCATCCAATCAGCTCTTCCTTGGTAAAACTCCCTACAAAGCTCGGCTTGGCAGCGAGGGCAGCTCTTTGGGTACACAGTTTGGGCTGGGAGTGGGTGGGGAGGCCCGGGGCTTTTATTCCCACCCAGGCTGCCCTGACGTCAGAGTCCTTAGTCGAGTCACCCGTGGCTGCTGACCGCTGACCAAACACCCGGCACGTGGGAACGGAGGGCCAACCTTAGGCATCAGACAGTTCTGGGTTCTTATCCAGCCTCCTGCACATGCGCTGGAGGCCCCCGGGCAGTAAGTGACTGAACCTTTCGGGGCCTCGGCTCCCTCATCTCTGCCGCGGGCTGGAAGACAGCCTAGCGGCCAAGGGACAAGCGCGCTCGTCTTCCCCTACCCCTGCCGGGTCAGCCTTGGGGGAGGTGCAAATCAGCGGGTCCCGAGGGTAGCTGCACAGGGCCTGCCCGCCCCCGCCTCGGTGGGCAATGAGTAACCAGCTCCGCGGCCGGGGTGCTCTTTGGACGGAACGGGACAAAAGGCCCTGTGTGCGCTGTGGGTTACTGATTTACCGCCCCCTCCACCTCCTGTCGCCCGGCGGACGCCCAGGTCCCCAGCGCCGGGAGGGGCTGTCCCCGCAGCCCTGCCGCCGCTCGCCCCCTGGCGGCTGGGAGAGCAGCCCGGGCTCCCAAGGGTTCCGGCTCACCTCGAGGCAGCGTGACTCCGCGCCCGGCAAAGGGTCCAGCTCACCTGGCTCCTCCGCCGCCTCACTCCTAGCTTCAGCCCGCCGCGACCCCTGCACCCGGCAGGGTCCGCAGACAGCCTGAGCGCCCCTCCACCAGGAGCCAGGAATGTACTCGCGACGGCGGTGTGGCCGCGGGCGGCCCACCTCCTGCTCCGCCCCTGCCCCGCCCCTCGGACCCGCCCCTCGGACCCGCCCACCTCCTGCCACGCCCCCATCGGGCCAGTCCCGCCTGGACCACCTCGAGCCGGAGAGAGGCACCCCAGGGGTGGCCCACAGCCCCGCCCACCTGGAGCCCCGCCCCCGACCCTGTCAGCCCACTCCCGGGACCCCGCCCCAGCCTACACACCCCCTACAAACGCTCCATTCAGGCCCCGCCTCTTTTGCCCTACCCAGGCCCCAGGCCAGGCTTCCAAATTCTGGTCCACTACCCAGCTCTACTCCTTGCTCTTCATCCCTCAGGGAATGCCTGGCTCCCCTGTCTTCTGCGCAGCCTTCGGTGTGATACTTACAACACATATCTGACTGTGTCAACCACTCCCTTAAATTTTCCTATAGCTTCCAATAGCTCTTTATACATAGATTATTGCTGTGACCCAAGTCTCCTGGCTCCTAATTTACTACCCCTGTGCAGTTTCACGTACCATTCCCTTTTCCTGGAATGCCCCTTGGTATGGTTAATTTCATATTATTCTCAGCTCACTTCCTCCAGGAAGCCCTCTGAACTTGCAGGCTCCCCTTAGATGACTTCTCCACTGTGAGGATGGAGAAAGAAAACAGTGAAGTGGTTCACAGCACAGACTGCAGGGCTGGACATCATAGGCTCAAATCTTAGCACCATCACACAAGGCCTTGGTCTTCACTGTCTTTTCAGTAAAACAGGCAAATGATAGATAGGATCAGCTTCAAGAAGTTGTTGCAAAAAGTGACATGTCAGCAGTATGTGTAAGCCTGGCATGCTCCGCTTGCTTTGTAATATTAGCTGTAATTATTTAGGACCTGTTATTTCATCATCACACTTGCGAGAATTGTAACTGAACAGTGAATTATGTAAATAGCTGTGGAATGGTTGGGCACAATGACGGGTGCCTGTAGTGCTAGCTACTAGGAGGCTCAGGTAGGAGGATCGCTTGAATTCAGGAGTTCGAGACCAGCTCTATTTTTCAATAGAGGAACTGTGCCTGCAGACCTCACCAGTTTAGTTCCAGTGTCTGGCATACAGTAGGTGCTCCCAGATAGCTCCATGCCCACCCGGATGACTTACTACAGGTAAGTAAGCACTTCTCTCCTGAGCATCTAGACTGGGGCTAAACTTGGAGTCAGGCAGCCTCTGATCTCTGCCCATTTCTCACCTGAATCTCAAACCCTATGCTTCTCTTAAGGCATCTTGAGAAGGAAGGAAATGGGAGGGGGGCACCTGTGGTCCCGGCTACTCGGGAGGCTGAGGCTGGAGGATTGCTTGAGCCCCAGAGGTTGAGGCAGCAGTGAGCCACGATCACACCACTGCACTTCAGCCTGGGCGACAGGTTACAGGGCAAGACCCTATCTGAGGCTCTAGCTAGTGGAGACCCTGCCTTAAGAAGCTACTTCCTTTCACATTGTCATGCAGAGAAGTCTAGTTTTTTCCGCCCTCACTCCCAAAGAGATAGTGGCATAACTTTGCATAACTATAAGGCCCATTAAGGCGACCTAAAAAATTTTTTTTAAGCAAAAGAATGGTCTCCTCCCAAAAATAAATCAGAAAGTAATTGGGACCAGATATGGTGGCTCATGCCTATAATCCCAGCATTGTGGAAGGCTGAGGTGGGAGGATTGCTTGAAGTCAGGAGTTCGAGGCTGGCCTGGGCCACATAGCGAGCTCTCATCTCTATTGAAAACATATGTATATTGGCCCCGCGCGGTGGCTCAAGCTTGTAATCCCAACACTTTGGGAGGCCAAGGCCGGCAGATCACGTGAGGTCGGGAGTTTGAGACCAGCCTGACCAACATGGAGAAACTCTGTCTCTACTAAAAATACAAAAACTTGGCAGGGTGTGGTGGCTCAGGCCTGTAATCCTAGCACTTTGGGAGGCCAAGGCGGGTGGATCATGAGGTCAGGAGTTCAAGACGAGCCTGACCCATATAGTGAAACCCTGTCTCTACTACAAAATACAAAAAACTTAGCCGGGCATGGTAGCACATGCCTCTAGTTCCAGTTACTCCGGAGGCTGAGGCAGGAGAATCACTTGAACCCGGGAGGTGGAGGTTACAGTGAGCCAAAGAT